TTTTGGTTCAAGATCTAACCAAAACTTGCCCTTAAACTCTTGCTGATCTGGTGTCCAATTTTCTATCATTGGTGATATTCTTTGTCTTTACTCTCTGTTCTTAAATATTTTTGATGTCCAAATTCTTAGTTCTTGAGGAATCTTAAGTCTTGCAAAGTGAGGTAAGTAAATTTATGGTCATGCCAATGGTTTTAAACTAAGGTTTTAAAAGTATATCTTGAATTGTTTTAAGGTGGTGGCAGGATCGAACCCGATTTATGTTGATATGAGCATGTCATGCTTTGATATTAAGTTTTATAATTGTTATTTATTGAAGCTTGAGCATGCCTTTTTTATGAGACATACTTGTTGAAACAATTTGAATTATGTTCCTATTTAAATGCCTAAAACAATCTAAATTATATTTCTTGTTTAAATGCATGTATTGTTTTCTCTCCAATTCTATCATGATTCCTATTATCCTACTAGTGGAAATGTAAACGTTGATAATTCCTATTATCTTGCCAGTGGGATTGTAAACATTGGTTACTTTTGTTATCTTACTAGTGGGAGTGTAAACATTGGTTATTTCTATTATCATGCCAATAAGAGTGTAGACACTAGCCATGACTAATTGAGGAGACCATTAAAAGATTTTATTATGCATTCCTAAATTGAATTTGGAAGTACTATTTGATATTCTGTATCCAACATGCTTTTTTTAAAAATTAAAGTGGGGTTACCCATAATTTACTTATTGAGTTATCTCACATCATTTTTTTTTCTTGTCCACCATTTCAGGTAACAAGACTTGAGACTTTGGGATTAGAGCTAGTTTGCTTATTAATGGATTGAGACTAGATTTTGGTTTTTTGCATATTTAACTTGGTTAGATTCAATTATAGATTTTTAGATTATGTAAGTTATTTTATTTTCTTTATAATCGATTGTTGTAGACTATTAGAATATATGGTTTGTTGCATAATATATTAAACAAGTTCTGACCCTTGTACACTTGTAGGGCCTACTTATAGGTGTATGACGTCTGTTTTGCTCCTGGTTTTGGGGCATGACACCTTCATATAGTTTCTCTTCTAAATCAATAGTTTTGCAAGTTTTGTTAGCACATTTCAATTTTGTTGATGCAATCAGGTTTCAGCTCTATAAATAGATTTCATTATAGTTAATGCAATCTCATTGCTTTATGTTACAAAGCTTCATTTTATTCTCAAAATGCTAAATTTACATTTCTACAAGTTATTTAGTTAAAATCTGTCCGTAGTTGCTTACTTAGATCTACCTGATATGATGAAATCTATAGCTTACTCTAGCTTTAATCTGCCTTCCAATTTTGCAATGCAATTTTATTTTTTGCTATCTTTCTCTTTCTTTTTTGCTATACTTAATTAACAAACTTTATTGTGGCACTAGATATGGGAAGTCTATGGATTTGTCTAAGGCAAGTTTGTAACCCATTTTGCAGGAAATCATCCCTACTTCTTACAACATCATCTGATCTAATCTGAGGTGCATCTTTAATATTTAATTGATGTTCTTCCAACCATCCCATGCAAAGGCCGATCACTTGGAAAAAGAGTATCATCAAGAAAATCTATTTCTCTTACTTTGAGCAAAGCAAGTGGTATCACTACATTGTTCTACCACATGGTAGCTAAGAGGAGAGGATTTTTGGGGAAACAACCATACAAGTCATGACTTTTCACATGCAACTAACTCAAGCCACCCCAAAGATGAACTATCAGCCTAAAGGGGGGATGAGTGCTTGAGCTAAATGAATTAAGTTCATTTACTGCACGCCTTGTTCAAATTTGAAATTAACATAGACTCAAATCCCAATACAAAGAAATCATCCTAGCTCTGAAGGAATGAACACCAACTTCATTGGGCCATAAGTTTGCCAAAAGCCATATGACAAGTGTAAGTTCCTAATAGAAATACAAAGTGTAAATCAAAGTTGGCAGAAATGTAAAAAATTAGCTACTAATAGAAATGAAATGAAACTAAGATTTTTACTTGAAAACTTAAGAAAATTAATTACAACTAAAGGTTGAAACATAAACTTGCTAACAAAGCAAAAAATGAACCTAGGTAATTAGACAGAAATGTAAATTACTAACATAAATACAAAGTTTGTTGGTAAAAGGACAACAACTATATTAAATTTACTATTGAAGTTAACCAAAACAACAAAAACAAAGAACCCGTTGAGGGAGTTGAACCTCTTCTACACTAACAAAAAAATTAAAGCTGTTGTAAGAGTTATTTATGGGCTAAACTTGCACCAAGCTAAGACCTATTGAAGTGTTTATGTTGTTGAGAGAGGCAAGCCTATTAAACTTTTCTTGAAATCTTGTACATGTGGCTTTCCATAACACAAGTTATTACTAGAAATCTGATTTGATCATGATTTTCTCTAGCTTACCTGTTATCATGCTTGACTGCGTCAAAGGAATCTCAACAACTTTAAATCCTTCCTTGCAAAAGAAATTTTTTCCATGTGTTAATTAATTACCAGAAATAGAATTTTGATTACCAAAAATCCCTAAAATTAGGTTGTAGGAATCAATTTTGATTTTTTCAACTAAACTGAACAATCCCACAATATTTCAGTAACTTCTCTAATTCTGTTGAATAGCTAATCTTTTCTTTTGGATTTTTATCATGTGGCAAACATTTATTGCACTAGAATTTTTCCTTATTGTAGATTGCATTGCACCAAATCATGACCATTGGATCTCCATTAGGGATATGCAACATCATAAAAAAAAATTGTCAACTGTAGTGTAAACACATTGATCACATTGATTAGAAACTTTTAAAAGTTTGTAAAAATACCCTAATAGCAAAATAGTGCTTGCCTATCTCAAAACTTAATAAAAAAAAAAATTTCCTAATCCTTAAGTTTGGACTTGGTAAATATTTAATCCAATATGAAAATTTGACCAAATCTACTTGTTATGAATACAGTTATAGGTCTAAAATATCAATATGAAATCTGATATGATTTAGACCAAAATTACTCAAACCCGATTGGGTTGGATTAGGGTTAGGATTTGGTTGGGTCAATTTAAAGTGACTTGATTAAAATTAATTAATTTTTTTAAATTTAAAATTTTGATTATTTATACATTTAATTTTAATTGTTAAATATAAAATAAAATTAAATACTATAAAATAATTATTATTTATTAAATTATTAGTAATAATATTGATTTAACATTTTTTACTAATTAATTAATTAATATTAATTTTTTTTAAAATAGAAAAAATATTAAAAATTTTTAATTTTTACAAAAATTAAATCCACTCAACCCAATTTGAAACCCATAGAGGTAGATTATAAATTTATCCCTTTAACCTAAAATCTAACATAACTAACATAACAAATCTAGAATAAAAATAACGTAATCTAAATCTAACTAATCTAATATGATTGTTATATGTACTTAAGATGCTTTCTTTCAAAGGGAAAATAGTCCATGTTAGTATGCATTCTAGTATAAAAATGAAGTTTTTTTTATTATAATTTATTGTTGTATGTTTTTTTACACCTTGAAATTAAATATCTTTTTAGATAATTTTAAAGTGTACCATTATATTAATTTAATGTATTTAATTTCAACACTTAAACTTTACATTTACTTATAAAACAACACTTTCCTTGATGATATAACCCATGAGCATTTTAAGAGGGAAAACTGAAAAGGACGAGGAAAATTGGAATATGCTCTTTTGATTCATAAGATCTGCAAAGATTTAGTAGCGAAGGTCGTCCATAGGTTATGATCTTAAAGTCAGATTTCATGTCAACAATGAAATGGATGTCAAAAAATTATTTAGCGAGTTAAAAAATGACCGCGGATACTGAGAAGATATCACCAGAGAATAAAAGCTGAGAGATTGAAAAGAGGCACAAGCAGCCACAAAAGTACCGGCACTAGCAAATCGAGACTGTAAACACTCATCGTTTCATTGCCGCCGGCAAGGATTGAACCGCCTATAAGGTGAAAGCCTGTAGAAGGGGAGGGGGTCAAAAGTAAATATTGAGGTTTAACTAAAGGGTTGGCCTAAGGCACATGATAAAAGCTAATTATTAATTAATAGTTATCACACTATTAAAAAAAATGAAATTTTAAATTAAAAAATTAATTTTTTATTTTAATTTTAAAATGATTGAATAAAAAATTAATACATAACATTTAGAATTAAAATAAAATTTAATTTAATTTTTTAAAATAAAATATAATAATAATAATTTTTTATCATATATCTTAAACTTACAAAATAAATAAACACTTAATTAAATAAAACCATTCAATTTAAGAATTAGGATTTCCATTTTTTAAATATTCATCTTTATAGCCCAAAATTTTGGGAGAATGGTGACACAAAAATTTTTGGCAAAAGCCTAAAAATAGCCCCTTACCTTGATAAATTGGATGGTTTTAACTCCTCACCTTATAATATAATGATTTTATCCCCTAACCTATAAGAATGAGAGAAAACAGCCTTTATTTATAACTTCCGTCATAAGTCTGTTACCTCTGTCACTTTTTCCGTTAACTTTGTCTTGCTTATATAATAAATAA